CACTAAAAGTGCTATACTTAAAATTACAGTTTTATTATAAAGGATACAACTCGGGAATAGCCAGGTGGAAGAAACCTATAGCACAAGATCTGGAAGCAAGGAGCACAGGACCTTCTATCCCTATGGAGTTGGGGTGTGACACCCACCTAGTCCATCAGTATGTGCAGCAACCAGGAAGCTCTCTGAGCCTCTTCAAGCTTTGTTGAGGTTTCATGACATGAGCATGGTTAACTAAATTAATGAATTAAGGGGCACCTGGGTGGCTCAGTCAGTTAAGCGACCCATTCTTGATTTTGGCTCAGGTCATGATCTCATGGTTCTTGAGATGGAGCCCCGCAGGAGGCTATGCACTGACAGCACAGAGCATGCTTGGGATATTCTCTCTCCTCTCTCTTGCCCCTCCCCTGCTAGTGCTCACTCTCTGTCTGAAAATAAACATTTTTAAAGAATAAATTAATCAACGGACGCCTGGGTGGCTCGGTTAATAAACAGCTGACTTCAGCTCAGGTCATGATCTCACAGTTTGTGAGTTCAAGCCCTGCATTGGGCTCTTTGTGGTCAGCACAGAACCCACTTCAGACCCTCTGTCCCCCTCGCTCTCTGCCCCTCCCCTGCTTGCATTCTCTCTCTGTAGAATAAATATTAAAAAAAAAATTACTCAATTCAGAGCTGGAGACCCTCTCCCCTCCTCTGGAGGTTGGGAGATGAGGCTAAAAGTTCTCTCTCTAATCACATGGTCAGTTTTTCTGGCAATAAGCCCCCATTCTGAAGCTATCTACTTCATCATGTTAATCTCAGATTTTCACTCCAAGATGGGAAAAGAGATAAGGATTCCAACTGTCACATTTACTTAACATTGTATTAGAAGTCCTATGGAGGTCAATAAGGCAAGCTAGAATTGGAATAGGAGAAATAAAACTTATTTGCAGATAACATAACTGGGTATGGAGACAGTCAAAACTATCGAAATTAATAAGGGAATTTAGAAAGGTTGTTGGATAAAATGTCTTATTTCCAATGTCAGAAAATTTTAACCAGTTTTCATCTTTTGGAATGTTTTGCTGTGGTTTTGTACACAGCATTTATCAGATGAAAGTTCCCATAATATACAAAAGTGTTTTGTATTTTTATATGCCAACAAACTGAAAAATAAAAAATAGCATTCGCAATTGCATAAATATATAATACGTTTACACCAACTGTAAAATATTTTGAGAGATATTAAAGATGACTTACATAAGTGAAGAAATATGTTCATGGAATGAAAATTCAGTTATAAATATATCAATTCTCTCCAAACTGATCTCTATAAGTTCAATGCAATTCCAGTCAAAATCCCAACAGGATTTTATTACAGAAATTGGTTAAGTTCATTATAGATTTTACAGGGAGAGAGCATACAAGACAATCTGAAATAAGAGTAAAGTGAGAGGATTTACTCTATCAGATATCAAAATTATTGTAAACCTACAATAATTAAGAAACTAAGACAGTATGGTCCTAATTACTGTAAGGATTCAGTATTGTTGCAAGTTGGTATTGCAAGGAATTGGTGCAAGAATATAGAAATAAAGCAAAGAGGCAGAATAGATTCCAGAAAGAAATCTACATATGCATGGACCTTTGATTTATAAGATGGCATTCCTGAACAATGGAAAAAATCAGCGTATTCAGAAAATTGTGTACACAACTGGAAATCCACACATATAAAAAAGCTTGACACATACCTCTACTTCAGATGGATTATAAATCTAAATACAAAAGGCAAAAGTAGAAAACTTTTAAAAAAAGATTGGAAAATATTATAATGATCTTTGGGCAGGGAAAGATTTTGTAAAAGGGCATAAATTTATAAATTGGGACTACCTTAAACACTTACATTCACCAAAAGATATCATTAAGAGAATGAAAAGACAAGCTCTAAAACAGGAGATGGCAATTGCAAAACAGTAACAAATGGCTTGTTTTCTGAAAGAGAAAAAAGACAATCTAATTACAAAATGGGTAGGATATTCAATGACCTCACAACAAGGATATCTAAACGGCCTGCAAATATATGAAAAGGTGTTCAGCTTTATTAGTCATCTGGGCAGTGTAAATTAAAACGACATGGGATACGAAGCACAGACATCTCAGAACAGCACACAGTAAGTAAGCAAGCACACTGAGCAGCCGCCACTGGTGAGGGTAACTGGAATAATCTCTTTGGAAAATATTTTGGTTCACAAAGCGAAGTACCTCAGATTCTACTGTAAGTCATGTACCCAACAGAAAAGCATACCCATAAATGCCAAGGAAATAAAAATGGTCCTTACAGCATTCTTCAGGATAACCCTAAACTGAAAATAACCCAAACATCCATCAGTGGTAGAATGTGAAGTTGTGGTATACACATGTAATTTTTTGCAGAGCACAAGAACACAGCAAGAATTTAAAATGAACATAATACATCCAACCAGCAAAATAAGATGAATGGAAAAGGGAAGCAGGAATAAGCACCTATGAAGAACCAACTGTAAATGCTAGTATAAGGAATATAATTTTAGGGGCGCCTGGGTGGCTCAGTTGGTTAAACATCCGACTCTTGATTTTGTCTCAGGTCATGATCTCACATTCATGAGATTGAGCTGACAGTGCAGACCCTGCTTGGGATTCTCTCTGCCCCTTCCCATTTGTGCTCTCTCAAATAAAAATGAAAATTCTTTTTCAATCTTTATCATTTTATTTTTTGAGAAAGAGATCGAGCAGGGGAGAGGGGCAGAGGGAGAGAAAGAATCTCAAGCAGGTTCCATGCTCAGCATGGGAGCTGATATAGGGTTTCATCCCATGGCCCTGGGATCATGACCTGAGCCAAAATCAAGAGTCGGGACACTCAACTGACTGAGCCACCCAGGTGTTCTTTAGTCTTTATTTTTTTAAAGTAGGCTCCATGCCCAACATAGGGCTTGAAATCATGACCCTCAGATCAAGTTTCATGCTCTACTGGCCAAGCCAGCCAGGCACCCAGAAATAAATAAATAAATAAATATTTTGAGAGAGAGAGATAGGATGGGGAGATAGAGGGAGAGAGAACCTCAAGCAGGCTCCATGCTGTCAGTGCAGAGCCCAGTGCGGGGCTCGAACCCACAAACTGTGAGATCATAACCTGAGCCAAGATCAAGAGGTGGACACTCAGGAGTGCCTGGCTGGTTCAGTTGGTTAGGTGTCCAACTCTTCATTTCAGCTCAGGTCATGATCTCACGGTTTGTGAGTTTGAGCCCTGCATCAGGCTCTGTGCTAACAGTATGGAGCCTGCTTGGGATTCTCTCTTTCCCTCTCCTTACCCTACTTGCTCTCTCTCTCTCAAAATAAATAAACTTAAAAAAAAAAAAAAAGACGCTTAACTGAGCCACCCAGGTGCCCCCAGAAATATAATTTTTAAAATGAATATATAATTAAGAACAGTTGAAGATCAGGTTGAGGAACACCAAGGTTATGAGAAATGGTAGCTAAGATGAGGGGGAATGAAAGAGGTATTGAGGATAGAAATAAAACTTTTGGAAGTAAAGAGTAAACAGAGGGGAAAATATATAAAGAAACAACATGATTTGGTTTCCAGAGTTTGGAAGAGATTAAAATACCTGAAACTCTCCACTAGATAAAATGTAACAAACTCCTTTGAAAATCACAGTACTAAGTTTATAAGAAATGCAGTGTTCTAGGGTCCCCAAATAAGAGGAAACTGAATTAAACGTGTAGTAGCCTTGTGACAGATGAGATTGGCCGTTTCAGAGAGGCTGGCTTTTGACAGCTAAAAGGAAACATCAGGATTTAGGTCTACAGAAACTGGAAAAAGTAATTCCACACAACACTGAAACAACTGAGCACCAGGCTGGCTCAGTCAGCAGAGCATGTGACTCTTGATCTCAGGGTCAGGATTTCAAGACCCACATTGGGCATGGAGCCTACTTTAAAATGAAAAAACAAAAACAACCCCCCCCCCTCCGCCAAAATCTGGGACCACTTAAGAACTACATCTTCAATGAAAGAACAATTAAGAAAAAACTCAGTTCAGGGGCACCTGGCTGGCTCAGTCCATTAAATGTCTCTTGATTTCAGTCATGATCTCACAGTTTATGAGATCAAGGTCTACCCCTGTCCCCCTCAACCCAACAAGGATCTGTGTTCAATGTATAGCCTGCTTAGGATTCTTTCTCTCCTCCCTCTCAAAATACACAACGAAGGGAAAGGAAGAGAAGGAAAAGAAGGAAGGGAGAAAGAAGAAAAGAAGAAAGAAAAAAAAGAGAAAAGAAAAGAAAAAGAAAGGAAAAGAAAAGAAAAAAGAAGAAAAGAAAAAAGTAAGAAAGAAAAGAAACAGTTCCCTAGGGTAGGCAGATGTGTGAATTTGTCTGTCCCAGGCTGGGCTCTCAGTGGGCAAAAGGTCTCCCTTGAAGATTTAGAACCACGAATTTGCCCTCAGACTCGCCTGAAGTTCAAGTTTACAGGCAATGGTCCAAGAAACCATAGTACCTAACCACTGATACTCCTGGAGACTCCTAGCAGAAGTAAACAAAAAACTGATCTGGAAGGACCCACCCTCAACCTAGGTGGGTGGCACAGGCTTCCTAAATATAAGGCTCTATTGGAGAGGAGTTCATACTCTAAAATTTATAAAACTCTCAAGGAAAAATCAAATAAACAGCAGTATTTAAACTTTATAAGCATATTTTTAAATATTTATTTTGAGAGAGAGAGAGCAAATGGCGGGGGGGGGGGGGGGGGGAAACAAAGGGTGAGAGAGAGAGAATCCCAAGCAGGTTCTGCACTGCCAAGGGCAGAGCCCCATATAGGTCTCAATCCCATGTGAGATCATGACCTGAGCTTAAGTCAAGAGTTGGAAGCTTAACCAACCAAGTCATTCAGGGACCCCAAGCATGATATATTTAAACTGATTAAATAAGTTACTTATGTACCTTTGCTCCACAAGCCTCTATAAACTGTAACTGATCAAATATATAAGATCAGGGGAAGGAAAGGCTTTTATTGTGTATGTTCCAAACATTAGATGTAAATTTAGGAACTCCCAAGAGATAGAGTTTTGACAAGAATCATGAGCAGGAAATATCATGCATGCACAGTTTACACCAATGCTATTAAAAATCACAAAACACTGAAGGAAGGTTTGGATTAGCTCTAAGCCCAGCAGTTCAGGCAACCTTGTGAAATTCTGTGAGCCACTTTTAATAAAACAGATTAAAAACCGTGTTAGAAAATTAATTCATTTCTATCAACAACATACACGTTTCAGTGACTAACAGCAAAGACTCAAACTGCTTAACAGCAGTAGTGATAATTGGGAGTGCCCAATGGGGAAAGTCACTGACAGCAACAAAACAGCCCGTGTTTCTAAAAAGGAACTGTAAACAGAGAAGAGCCCCCCATACCACTATAAAACTGAATCAACCTATCAAATAACGGCCACTGATTTATAATTTGAAAATAGTGACAAGCTCAACTCCAAAGCTTATGCTTTTAAACAAGATTCGACATGTTTTATTTACATATTTTTGACATACATCAACAGTCTTATACAATTAACTAAATCTAGTAACAGTGAGGATGGAACATAAAAGACACAATTCCAAATTTTAGTCAGGTTGAAACACATTTTCACTAACTGAAAGATACAATAAACAAGCAGCCATTGTAAAGTTATAGACTGTATGTCAATTCACTTAAAATTCAAAAGTCAGCCACACAGCTATAGAGACAATGGGAAATTTGCAAATGCAAATATTACATATGCAGGTAGAACGCATGCATGGCATCACATTTATTCTTTATCTTTTAAGCTATTCTTAAAGTAAACTGGAATAAGTATCTTAATAATATATGTACATCAAGGCACATTCTTTTCTTGTGCTTTAGGAATGATTTACATGTGATTTGCTTTTATTTTCATTTTATACTTTATATTAGCTGCTAATACTTAAAAAGTTTAATTTTAACAATTATAGTTTGAGTGGTAGCTACCCACAGGAGAGAAATGTGGCATCTCCCTATGGTTATTTTGAAAATCAGAAAATCAGAAAACTGGATAGCTTCTACAAGTGGGAATTTAAAAATCAAACACACAAATTAATATAATTCACAAGTAACTTTTAAAAATAATTTACTTCCAACAATTTGGTGGACCATAATCAATTTCTTTGAGTAGTATACTATAATGAGGGCTGAATTGAAGACTTCACTATTCTGAAGTTACTCAACAATTATATGGTATCCTCAGGACCGCTTTAGATGTCTATATTGCTATCCTATTTCTAAATTGCAGTTTTTCAACAAAATTGAACAATTAAACATGATACAAAAGCTGCAAACATACCAAATCTAGTTTTAACTTGTTCATTCTTTCAGCAAAAGAATGAGATCTTTTTTTTTCCATTTATTGTCCCATGTTATCAAGAAGAAATTTCCCATCAACAGTGTTTAATAACAGTGTTCTTTGCTCGTGGTCAATTTACTTGCCTTGAAGAGATAGTATATAGTAAGGCTTTAATAGGCATTTCATGCATTTTAAAAATCAGCTATGTATTTAAGGGCTCCCCATATAGATAAGTATACTGTGCAAACTTGATTACAACATGTAACTCATTAAGTGCTTTAAAACAGAATAAATCCCTGACTTATAAGGGGTTAAAATAAATAGTAAGTCAAGAATCACAGACCGAAGCATTTTAAAAATGTAATGTACCTATGCATCCTACTAAAATGCTTTATATTAGAATTTTTTTAGACCTATAAACAGGGCAAATGAAATCACAGAACCTATTTTGAGAATAAAAGAAGAAAATCTGACTAGTACAGCCTTTTAAACTCAAAGTAGATGATCATGTCAAAATGCAAGTGAAACTATACAGTTTTTAATTTAGTACAGTCCTTTATAAACATCAATTCATAAAAAGTACACCATGATAAACCAATGCCATCAAGTATATTTGTTTTCAACTTCTTTACAGTAAATGGACTTTTCAACAGAACCTATCAGCCAGACAAATCATTTAGAAGTGTTAAAACCTCACCCAAGAGCCCAGAGCCTTGACATACAGGCTCTAGGCAGACAGTCGCACAGTACTGTAAACAAATGTTCTGTGAGTTCAGTATACAATGCTAGGACCCTTCTTTCTTTCTCCAAGACTATATTCACTCTGTTTCTGAAATATGTGCCACCTCTACTTCGACAGTTTGAATCGCTTCTGCAACTTCAGACAGCTTCTGTCCTTGCTGTTGTGCCAACACGTAATTAACCACTTGCATAATACTTTGGTCAGAAAGCGTAGATACTGATGGACACTCTTCCGTAGCTGCCACGGCTTCGAGTGCTTCCATGGTCTCTCCTGTCACGACCACAGTCTCAAGTTCTTGAGGACCACTGCTTTCTTGTTCCTGCATGTCTGCTGTTAAGATACTAACAGCATGCTCGACTTGAGTTCCTTGGTTATGAAACTGAAGGGTATCTTTTTCCAGCATAATTTTGCAAGGCACATAATCTCTGTGGAATTTAGTCATATGTTTACGGAGGGTTCGAGCATCTATGTAGGCTTCGCTACATACAGGGCAGACGTAGGGCCGTTCACCAGTATGCGTTCTGACGTGGCGTTTTAGAGATCGGGCATCAGCCCAAGCTACTCCACATGTTAAGCATTCAAATGGCTTAACTCCTATTAAGAGAGAGAGGTGTTCCCAGAGATACAAGTTACTGAGAGGCAATTCTGATTCCATGAACAGTCTCATTTAACCTTCCCAGCAATCCTGTAATCTTAGGATAAGGAAACAGAAGCTTCAAATAGCCCAGTTCAGCATAAAAATGCTGACCTACAATATTAAGCTCACTAAAAAAGGAATCCATCTACATACACAACAATCAGGTATCCAGGTTCAGGATCACCTCAATCACGTGAATAAATCTTACATAATATAGAATTCATCTCTTGTCAAGGAAGGTGAGGTAACAGGCAAGAAGGCTGGTAAAGGGGGAATCACGATTAGACTGGCTTTTTATTCTATTTACATATATACATAGGATGAAGTATAGTTACCTTCATGGTTGTTCATGTGTCTCCTATACTCTCTTAGCTGAGTGAATTTTCTTCCACATTGTTCACATACCCGTTCCAGGTTCTGCTTCGCTCTTCCTTTTTTTCCATGGGTAGCTTTCTTTACATGCCTTCTGAACAATGCTTTTTCATAAAATTCTTTGCCACATATATTACACCTATAATGGGGGGGGGGACCTAAATTATTTTTTCCAAAGCACCAGCATACAAAAAAATTAATCCAAGTACATACATCTCAATTAAGTTCAGATCCTGCTCCAATCTACCTACCTATAAGGCTCAGTAACAGAATGAGACTTCACATGGGAATACCAATCTTTCTTCCAACTATAGCACTTATCACAAAATTGGCACTGGAATGGCTTCACACCAAGATGTTTGTTCATGTGCTGACGAAGATCTCTAGCTTCAAAGAAACTTTTTTCACATCTGCAATAAAATTCAAGAACTCGATCAGATCACTGTATTATTTTTTTAAAACAAATTTCCAAGACTCAGTATATTTTTGGGTTTTATAACTCTAGAAAATGATCCCAATTGAAAACACAAGAATGCGCTACTATTCCAATCTTGTAGTAAAGGTTTTAAGTTCTTTTAGCTCTTAACTACTAGAGACATTTTACTTTTTAATGTTTTTATTTAAATTCCAGTGAGTTCACCTACAATGTGATACTAGGGGTACAATATAGTGATTCAAACCTTCTGTACATCCAGTGCTCATCGAAACAAGTGTACTCCTTAATCCCCATCACTTATTTAACCCATCTTCCCACCCACAGCCCCTCTAGTAACCCTTGGTTTGTTTTCTATAGTTAAGAGTCTGTTTCTTGGCTTGCCCCACACCCTCTTTTTTCCCTTTGCTGGTTTGTTTTGTTTCTAGTACTAGAAACATTTTAGAAAGAACCATGCAGAGCTCTCAAAGGCTATTGTATAAGACATTTATTTTCTTTCTCTCCCTAAACCCCATCTGATCTCCCTTTTTATCCTCGCCCATTTTCCATCCATGTGTTTGGAGTAGGCCTCACCATCGACCATAAAGATGGAGCAATTGTCTCAGGCCTGAGTCAATCAGAGCACAGCATTCCCTTGGCTATAATTACTGATCCAGGGATAATCGAATGACTTAACTAGATCCAATGGGCGTCAATCTCAGAACCTGTATAGGAACTACCAGAAAAGCAGCTTGACAATTTGGGAGTCGAGAGGATGTGAGGCTGAAACCATTGTTACTGCCATGTCCACAGAGTCTCAGAGACCAAGTGCTAACAGATGTGAATCTAGTTTACATTAAACTATTCAAACTCCCTAGATTTTACCACCTTTCATTCAGGCCAGTTTAGGTAGTGTTTTCTTTCACTTGCAACTAAAAATCTATTAATAATAAAATAATTTTATTAAAAAAAAATTTTTTAAACCTTTATTTTTGAGAGACAGAGCACGAGCAGGGGAGGAACAGAGAGAGAGGGGAGACGTAATCCGAAGCAGGCTCCAGGCTCTGAGCTGTCAGCACAGGGCCCAATGCAAACCCACAAACCGCAAGTTCATGACCTGAGCTGAAGTCGGACCTTTAACCGAGTGAGCCACCCAGGCACTCCTAAAATATTTTTTTTTATAATAAGACTAATAAAAGTGAGAAAAGAAAATATGGTAGAGTAGGAAACCCCACAAGCTCACAAAAGCAGTGGCCAAAACTAGCCAAAACTATGAGGATCAATTTTATTAGAACCCCAGAAATGGATTAAAAGTGTACAGTGGCCAGGCAAGTGTTTAATTAAAAAAAAAAATCAGGGGCGCCTGGGTGGCTCAGTTGGTTAAGCATCCAACTTCGGCTCAGGTCATGATCTCCCAGTTTGTGGGTTTCAGTCCCGTGTCGGGCTCTGTGCTGACAGCTCAGAGCCTGGAGCCTGCTTCGGATTCTGTATCTCCCTCTCTCTCTGACCCTCCCCCATTCATGCTGTCTCAAAAATAAATAAACGTTAAAAAAAATTAAAAAAATCATTAAATCTTGTGAGAGAGCTTTGTAGCATTTGAACTCCCCTGATCCCCTTTCCCTGCTTCTCAGCTGAGCAGCAGCCATGAAGACTGCATTCCCATGATGGGCTCCTGGTGCCAGAGGGACTTCTTCTTAAAGAACTGTGCTGGTCTCTTTGGACCTATCCGGTGACTCCCTCAAGGATCCCCCCAAAAGGGCCTGCATTCTGGAATCAGACAGTGGTGATGTTTCCACAATGTACTGAATGTACTAAAAGTTAGTGAACTGTACACTTTAAAATGATGAATTTTTTGTGAGTTTTACCTCAATTATAAAAGACATTTCAAGATGCTTTGGAAAATAAAAAGAGGAAGAGAAGAAAAAGAGTCTAAAGAGAGGAAAAACTAGCAGACGGCTTAGCACTTTAGATGAACAACCTAGAAAAAAATCTCTGGCTCGCACTGGGGGCTCTCACTTCCTACAATCTCTGACTCCAAGTAGTACGTTTGAAGAATGTCTTTAAAGTATTTCAAGTGAGTGATTTACATGGTATAGGATATCTAAATAAAACTTAAAAACCATAAATAGCAATATCTAGGCAAAAAAAAGACATTAAAATAAAAAATAAGTAACAATTGAATATTATCTTCAAACAGTTTTTTTCAGGTTTATCAAGTTATAAAATTGTAAGATATCTGAAATGCACATCATAATGGTTTGATACATATATCCATTGTGAAAGGATTCCTCCCATTTAATGTATCCATCATGTCAGATATATGTATATATATGTGTATGTGTATGTTTAAGTTCTACTCCTTTATCAAATTTCAATTATATAATAGTATTATCAACTATAGCTACCTCAAATATTTTCTTCTGAAAACAATTTTCAAATAAACCTATTAAGAAACACAAGGAAACTGAATAGTTTGTGTATTAAATACTTACTGAGTACAATGATAGCCTCGAACTTCAGGCTTTGGCTGGTGTTTCTTTAGGTGCTTGCTGAGGCCAGAGCCCCTGTGAAAAGACTTTCCACAAACTGAGCAAAGGTACTTGGACTCTCCTATAAAAAATAAAAAACATGTCACAAATCCAGCAATCAGGTGCTCTTCCAACAGAATACTTTATGTTACACTTCAGAAGTTACTTTACCAAAGGGACACAGAAGCTGTAACATTTGGCAGCCATCTTCTCAGAACAACAACAAGCCAAGTCAAAATCTTCTGTTTCTTCTCAACTACAGTACTAGCAAGGCTACTACCACTACCCAAAGAATGTGACACGCTTGCATAATCATCTGGATTATAATAATACAGAGGTGAACGCAAGTTCTAGAGCCGATATCTACCCTTCACTAGCCATGGCTACATTATCTAAATTATGCATGATTCACTAGTGAGTACACATTTTGCTACACTGAGGGAAACAATGACTTTTTATACCAATAAGATAGCTCTAAACTAGATTTAAAGAACACTTTTTAGCCTTAATTTGAATTTTTTTAAATGTTTATTTATTTTTGAGAATGAGACAGAGTGTAAGTGGAAGAGGGCAGAGAGAGAGAGAGAGAGAGAGAGAGAGAGAGAGAGAGAGAGAGAGAGAGAGAATCTGAAGCAGGCTCCAGGCTCTGAGCTGTCAGCACAGAGCCTGACACAGGGCTCGAACTCATGAACATGTGAGACCATGACCTGGGCTGAACTCAGACACTTAACTGACTGAGCCACCCAGGCACCCCAGCCTTCATGAAAAAAACTGCACATACACAGCCGTTAGTATATCAATATAATTTCTAAAACATATATAGCACAATAATTAACTGAATTATGGTATATAATGGGTAGCTAAGTTAATACAAATTTCTCATTACCTGTGTGAATACTCATATGTTCTTGAAGACTCCGTTTGGTAACAAATGACTTAACACATAGTTCACACTGGAACTGCTTTTGTGATTGATGGAGACTCTGGTGCAATTTTAGACCATGTTTATAGATGAAAGTCTTTCCACAGACCTAAGATGGCACAGGTATTTATACCAGTAAAACAGAAAAGAGAAACCAGGGCTATTTCTGAAGAATGAGGCTAGAGAAACTATATGCCATTTTAAAGAAAAAATTATAAACAAAATGACAAACTGAAGCTGAAACAAATGTCAAGGATATTTAGCTGGCTGACCATCTTCTGACTCAGAACTTAACAAATATCGCTACTTTTCTTACATCCACTGGAGGTCAAAGCCATACAAAAGACCCTCATGCTGTCCTTGTGAGACTAATAAACAGTATACCTTATATTAAGAGACATGACAGCTTAATCAAGAAAATATACTAATTTATTGCTACACAAACTAGAACAGTGCTTCTCAAACTCTGTGATGAATCAGTCTTCCTTTTGTCAATCCATTTTTTGTTAAATATGCTAAAAATGTGACAACAATGTAACTGCCATGAGAGTTTCTAAAAGTCCACTCTCCATTTCTGTACATATCTTCCATGGACCACACATTTTGAGTAGTGCTACACTACAAGACCAGAGGCCCAATTAATACTCAGTTTTAAAATTTATGAGTAAAATGATGCTTAGGACTTGGCTTCAAAAGAAATGAGGGGAAAGGGAAGTAGGGCAGTGAGGGATAGTATACATAAAACACAGCTGATCATGTGTTCATAGCTACTGAAGCTGGATAAAGGGTCCATGAGAGTCTATTCTATTCTATTCTCATATAACAAAAAGTTAAAAAAAAAGGGGGGGGGGGAGAGAAACATTAAAAATTTCACTGGAAATTTTCCAGTTTCAACAAAACTCATTGTTTCCAAAACTGTTTATTAATAAAAACGAGTTCCACTTATATGCAAGGTTACAGGGGCTATTGGAAAATTTTCACTGTTCCAAACAGCCCAAAGCTGGTTAATCACAGGATTCTTAGCTAGAAGCTGTATTTTGGCATTCAGATAGTCTCAGTCCTCAGCTCTAGAGAAGAACACACAGCTTAGGGAGGATTTTTGCTAAGAAGATTTGTTTAAGCCATGGGTTCCTTTCCAGTCCAGGTAGGTCCAGCTGAAGCTTAAAGGGATGAATGGGATAATGAACTAGTTATTCTCACCTAACATTTTCTGAATCACAGTAAGTTTCATGAACATCCTAAACTGATTCATTTCAAATTACAACAAGTTAAATAGCAAATCGAAGAACACAACTGGGAATTTCCCTTAAACCAGGCAACAAACTGAAAAAGTCACAGAATTCTCTGTGACATTTTACAAGAGTAAGAGTGACTCCAGAATCAACCAGTCTCATCACTAGTTAAGTTCAAATTTTCTTTACATAACAAAGTAAATGTCATGGCTTTACCTGGCATGCATGTGGCTTTACACCTGTATGCTTTAACATGTGTATTCGAAGAGAATATAATTTAGGTAATGTCCTTCCACATATGGAACATATAAATTCTCGTTTGGTTCTCCCCTTCTCAGACGATGTTCCTGATGCCTCATTAGACGTGGAATTGGAAGAAGATGAAGTGGGTGCATCTTTTCTGGTATGTCGAATAAGATGTGCTCGCAAGGAGGCACTGTACTGAAACTGTTTTTTACACAACTAAAAGGAAAAGTAAATAAAATTCTGTCTAAATGTAGTTCCATAACAAATGTTAAGTGACACCTGACTCCTATTTCAAGTTCCCGTTTCTTTGTTACGATTATATAAATCAAAAAAACCACACACTATATAAAAGATGATATGCTAGGTATCAGACATAAGGATGAAAGGGGTTAAAGACCCAGACTCTACTCTGAAGAGGTTTATAATCTAACCACAGAAACAGGATTTACATGTGAAAGAGTGAAGTATTTAGGAAGAGGGAGTAACTGAAGCAATAGACAAAGGCATCAATGAGGAGACTAGGTCTATCTAGAAGGAACGGTAGGATGTCAACAAGAATGCTATCAATAGAAGTACTACAAATTGTTAGGTGGAGCAAAACTAGGGGTTGGAAAAGTAGAAAAAACTCTGATGGTCCTTGGATTTTATTCTGTAGTTGTTAGGGATTCATGAAATATTTTGTTCATTCTTTTAAAAAAATCAAAGTTATATATGCTCACAACCTATATTTAATTTTTTAAATAAATAAAACTCGTCTCTTGCTCTATTTCTGCCATTGTTTTTTAACTCTCTCATGATGCTTGCTTACCTTGGTAACTCTAAGTAACATGAATAATGGATGATGACTCTCTCCCTTCACCCTTCCACTCCCTACACATATGCAGGCCTATTACCTTATTTTCTCAATACAGCTATGTTGTAGTTTTGATTAATTTCTACATTCACATTTTTTCAATGAAGTAATTACTATTACAGCTGGGCCACAGAGTACACTATGATTCTCTTTCCCTTCTTTTTGTTTTGTTTTGCTTATTTCTGTTTGTATTTACTGATTATTCATCACCAAACCTTTCCCTCAATTGTCTACTGAGGGGAGATTTAAAGATATCACCTATGAAAGAGACCTCCTTCAAAGCATTTTGTCCTGCTCCAACCTGGACTGGTTGTTTCCTATGCTTGGACTCTGTAGAATTGGACCCCATGTTTCCCAGTTTTCCAGGTCTTTCTCACTTTAGTGGAACACCTCTGCAAATAGCTTCCTGAGAAAGGGAGTCTGGGAGGTAAAACTTTTGAGACCTTGCATGTCTGAAACTGTTCTTATCTACCATCACAAGTAACTCATAGTTTGGTTACAGATTTTAAGTTAGAAACCAGGGCCCTTTAGAATTTTAAAGACATGCTTTTCTTTGTCTTTTAGCTTCCACTGTTGCTGCTGAAAAGCCTGAAGCCATTCTGATCTTTATCTCTTCTATGAGTCTGACCATCTGTTTTCTCTATTGTTATTTATAAGAGATTTTCTTTGTCCCTTAATTAGAAGATTTCATAATTTATCTTGATATAGATTTACTTTCATCCATGGTTCAGGGCCTGCAACATGCCCTGTTTCACAACTTTTTTTTTTAAATCTTAGAGAAAGAGAGGAAGCAGGAGAGGGGGCAGAGGGGGAGAGAGCGCAAGCAGGGGAGAGGGAGAGAGATAAAGAATCCCAAGCAAGCTCCATTTGTAGCGTGGAGCACTTAATCCCACAATCCTGGGATCATGACCTGAGCCGAAACCAAGAGTTGAACACTGAACTGAGCCACCCAGGTGCCCCCATAAGGAAACTTCTAAATTCTGATATTTTTCTTTATTGCACCAATGATTTCCTGACCTCTGTGTTCTCTTTTTGGTGTTATCTGGATATTAGATATCCTACACCAATTCTCTAAATTCCTTCACTTTCATTTTCTAACTGGTCTTCTGCATTATTTCTGAGAGATTTAGTCTATTTCCCAATTTTTCTGAGATTTTTGTATTTGTGGATTCTTCAAAGTTGCTTTTTTTCCTTGAAATATTTATTCCTGAATCTGATGATCCCTGATATCTACTCATCTTTCAGAATGTTAAAAAATTGATTGGAATTTCTGTGTAAGTATGTGGGGGGTGGCGGGGAGTTGTCAACCACTGGCTTTAGTCAGCACTATCTTCAGGTCCTTTGTTATTGCGCTTCGGATTTCTCATCTCTGAGAAACTTTTTTGCTTTTGGGTTAAGGGTCTGACTGCTAACATTCTGGGACTTGAGAAGGGACAGAGGACTTGAAGGCTTTCAATATTCAGTAAATAAGGTTTTCCTTTTCCTTGAGTACATTCACGTTCACTGTATGCAGTGTTCCCCAAAACAGTCATGGTTTTAGCTCTTCCAGAGAGTAGAAGATGGATCTTTGGCTGAGGGAGTGGTTGTGACTTAACTGCTTCTTACAAAATTTTCTAACAACCAGATTCACTTCTGCTTTCAAAGTAGCTATATAACACCAACTCCTGAGGCATTTGGTAGTTCTGCAATACAATTCAGATGGATTCTTAGCTTTCCCCACTGAAAACCTGGAATGAGCCCTTATAAATCTGTTAAATCAGCTACTACCTCCATTTATCAGGGTCCAGGATATAGTTGATTTCCTCTTTACTCTTTTATGAACTTACATTTTTCTTTAAATTTATTTATTGTTTTCTTAAGTTTATTTACTTATCTTCAAGTAATCTCTATCCACAAGGGGGGCCTCAAACTTATAATAATAACCCTGAGATTAAGAGTCATATGCTCTAAGAGTCATATGCCAGGCACCCCTGAGCTTATATTTTTTCAGTGATAATTTTACTCTTGTCTTACTAGGGTATCAGGAAGAAGCAAAGACAGGTCACTGTTTTTGTTTTTCTTTGTCAAGGAAATGACATGTACAAATCAAAGATGACTCTTATACCAATATAAGGGAGAAAGAGAAACACAGAGACTACAAGTAGTAGAATAACAATGAAGCAGCAAAACTGGGTTCTATTTACCATGAAGTTAGATAAATCATCTTTAATTAGCTTTCCAATTACTTACCGGACATTTGTAATCTCTAGCTCTTTCATGTTTCAGTGTATGCATTATAAGGGCATATCGTCTCTGAAAAACCATTCCACATTCCCCACATTTATGGGATGCTGCTTCTTCAGTATTCTCTTTCGTATCCCTTTTTGGCTGTTTCATTTTTTTCCCTCTTTGAACTAATTTCTGGGCTACCTAAGTAAGGGATAGAAAACACAATCTAAGTAAGTACAGCCATTTTGATTTTTAAAGTCATGAGTCATATAATATTTCAAACTGGCATTACATTATTAATACCGGTATTTAAAACATTAAGTTGCTTTCCTGCACCTACTGCCCTTCCTCCCCAAATAATTTCACCACAGGTATAAGTTGATGAATAGAATGCTTTTTACTTAAAGGTAAAACTACAAAGGTCAACTCTTCGTCATACCTGTTGAACTGCTGACTTGGGAATGGCTTTCCGTTTCTGTAGCTTTTTCTCCATTCCTTTGTGTAGCCGGATATATCCCCCTTCATTAACAGAACGCTGCCGAAGTCTGCTTCTGTAAGTTTCATCATCAGTGCTAAGGTCTGGCTTTGCTGTCAGTGCAACTAGATTTTCCTGATCTTTTAAAGACTGGCTAAGGTTCTGCATTTGCTCTGGAATGTCTTCAGCACAGATATCTTCACTTGATGGGTCATTTCCCATATCACTGTTTTCTGGAGAGTTACTGATCACATTCTCTTTTGAAAGTTTGGGATTAATATCAGAAGGTGCGCTATCTTCTCTGTTTAAAGTTTCTACTTCTGTCTCATCATTTTTTGTTACTAAATCAACAGACTCCATTTCAGGATGGGAACCAGTTATACAGCCTGCAGGTGACAGAGTGGCTTCGGCTTCTGAAGAAACCTGGGGTTCAGGGTGCTGTCCTAGCTCTCCATTCTGCTCAGTTTCTGGCAATTCTCCATTCACCAACAGTACAATTTCACAGTCCCCAAGTTCAGTAGATAATGTTGTGGTCCCCTCGTTGCTAGCCACAGGAGGCACAGTGCCTCCATTTTGTTCTGGTAAGTCCTGGGTGGATGCAACTGTTTGTACTTCACCCTTCTTATATACTGTTAGCTGCTTCTCTTCCATTAGTTTATGCACACTCTCACAGATTTCTAAAACTTCCGACATGAAAAGATGACGAGCCAGGATGGCTACATCAGCCATGCTACAGAAGTCAAAACTTAGCACAGAAGTGTAGGCAAATTCCAATAAAGGAAGGAAGCTTGCCTTACAAAAACCTGCATGGAACAAAAAAAATGGGGGTACAAAAAAGTTAAAGGTCTACTAAAACACCTTAGAATAACAATTAATACATGATTATGATATATAAAATAGAATATAAAGGCAAATATGACCATTTATTCTGCAATTAAACACTGTGGATTTGTTTTGTGTTCTGGTTGCTTAATAAACCTTGACTAACTCACTTCAATGAGCCGAGTCTCTCAATACCTAAAATAGAAAATAGTATCAGACTTACTACCTCAAAGAGTTGCTGTAAGGCAGTCATTTTCAAACTGTACTCCTTAGAACCCCGGGGGTTCCTCAAATTCCCCTCAAGAAACAGCTGCTGGAGAATGGAGGGTAAAAAAAGAGAGGGAGGCAGGTGAGTAGGCAGGGTTCAACCAACCTGTCCCCTAACCTCACTTCTGTAAGTATAACCATATATTTTAATAACAGAAGTCCATATAAAAATGATTGTGAACAAAGAGTTTGACTACTGAAAATTTAAAAATAAGATCTAACACAGGGGGTCAGCAAAGTTTTTCTGTAAAGAATCAGTTAATAATTATTGCAGGCCATAAGGTGTCTGTTTCAACTACTCAACTCTGCCACTGTAGCTGAAAAGTACAGCCACAGATAACACATATGCAAATATACATGGCTGTGTTCCAATATACTTTACAAAAAGAGAAGGAAATGAGGATTGCTCTGTGGGCTACAGTTTGCGTATCACTGGCTTAAGGAAGGAAATAATTACCATACACATGAGGTATTACATTTTTATTTTATGTGAGAAAATGAGATCAGTTTATTTCTAAGTTCTCAATATTTCACTATTTTACAAAAGCCAATATTCATAATTCAAAAATAAGATAAAACAGTGATAAGTCCAACTCCATCTCCCTAACCAGTATAAGAATGTGTATAGCTTTCCAGAGCTTCTTTATACAATTAAGCAAATAATCTTATTCCTCCTTCTTGCAGTAGGTGGCATATAACTTATACTTATTCCATGCGTTGTTTTCTCATATCATAATTTAGCTTAAAGATCTTTTACAAAAATATAAAGAGCCAAAGCAACCTTTTAAAAACTCACATTTGCTGTATTATTCAGTTTTGACTCAAGGTACATAAGATGTAGTCCTTTTATAGAAGTAGATGATGAACAAGGAAGAGAAGCCTTAAACTGTGAGATATATTAGAATTCCAGTTGATCATGGCTAATTCAGCCATCCTAGGAAAGTTGGTAATTAAATAGGCTGAAGCCATGTTAATCCTGCTACAAATTATAAGACCAAGTTAAATAAGCTTGAGGTAAGTATTTCTTTAAAAAAAGGTGGCGCGGGGGGAAGAAAACCCACAAACAAAATAATGTATTTTGGTCTTTTACCTATACCTTTTAAAATTTTTTTAATGTTTATTTATTTTTGAGACAGAGAGCGAGCATGAGCAGGGGATGGGCAGGGAGAGAGGGAGATACAGAATACAGAATCTGAAGCGGGCTCCAGGCTCTGAGCTGTCAGCACAGAGCCCCATGCAGGGCTTGAACCCCCGGACGTGAGATCATGACCTGAGGCGAAGTTGCACGCTCAACCGACTGAGCCCCCCAGGTGCCCCTTATCTATACCTTTTTAAGTCTGAAGTCATGAGAAAAATTTCCCATGAAAGAATTAACACTGTTCCAAGTAACAGTTTAAATATATAAAACAGTTTTTTTCAAGGACACAAGTCATGTTTACCATAAAATACAAAAACACAAAGGAAAAAAAAATCATTCATAATTTTGTCAAGAGATAATAGGCAGATAATTTCAGTACCTTATTTTTACCCCTAGCCTTTTTACATACAATATACACACTCTGCAAAACAATCAAAATGACAACAATTTTGCAAGATAATAAAAAATTCCAGAGATCCATTACACAACAATGTGAACATGATTAACAATAGTGAACTGTATACTTAAAAATCATTAAGGCTGGGGGGCGGGGGTGCCTGGGTGGCTCAGTTTGTTAAGTGTTCAACTTCAGCTCAGGTCATGATCTCACGGTTCGGTTCGTGAGTTTGAGCCCCGCATCGGGCTCTCTGCTGTCAGCACAGAGTCTGCTTCAGATCCTGTCTCTCTGCTCCTTCCTTGCTCACGTTCGCTCTCTCCCTCTCAAAAATAAACATTAAAAAAAATGAGGAGGGTGAATTTTATATTGTGTTTACCAAAATTAAAAACTAAAAAAAGAAAAAACAAAAGGACAACAATGTAATAGATGGTGTTAGGGAATGTGATCAAAAAGACAGATTTGCCAGCTGATACATGAACTGGATGGACCCTGGGCACTCAAAGGCTCCCCACCTTCTTCCCTGTCCTTGGAATGTGAGTTCCACTTGCCTTTCCTGCTCCCAGAGACTGCTCTAAGGACATAACCTTGAGATAGTGACGTGATACTGAAAATATCTACACAGTTTATGTGACTGGACCCAGCTAAGGACTCTTACAAACTTTTAAGATTTGGTGGGCAGGTGCAGAGATACATTCATCTTGCTACCACCTAAGACAAGCCTCATACATAAGCGCCCTTTGCTTGTTAAAACTGCCACCTACCAACCTGGAATGGTTTGCCCATTTCTTTGGTCTCTCCCTGCCTTTTGAGTACAGGGACCAATTTCACATTACACCAGGGAAGCTCATGGGAGAGTTATGAACCAACAGACAGAAGAATTATGACAGGGACTTCCACATCCAACAGTATGGCAGACTAACATACCCTAAAATTTGACCCAATTACTTAAAAAAAAAAAAAATAGGACATAAAATTTTTTTTAAGTATTATTTTAAATATACTTGGTGCCCCAGCATTGAGTGAAACAGGTAAGAAACCCTTCCTGATTAGTCATGACCTCAAACCAGGCTTAATCTAGTAGGATATTTTGTTGAATATATAGCACTTCGGTAGTCAAAAAGTCCTCACGCTCAGAATTTAAAGTAGTCCCAGACTGGTAATGCCCTCAGAATCTTAAGAACCAAATGTTTTCTCTGTGGAAAACACTTTCAACCCAAAACTCAAAGTTTCCTACAAAGTTCTGAAGAATATAAATTCAGTGTGCACAGATTTTTAATTACAAACAAGGCACCATGAATAAGAGCTAGTGGAAACAAACAGCATGAATCAAACCAGCAAAGATTTTTATTGCTATGATCACATATAGAAAAGTCAACGGTGGCATAACACCAGTAAAGAGCAAAAGGTCATAAAAAGTAGCCCCCTAAAAGAGATACATGAAAAGAACTACATAGAGCCTCTAAAAAATGGAAAAGAGGGGCCCCTGGATGGCTCAGTCAGCAGAACATGCAACTCTTGATCTCAAGTATGTGAGTTCAAACCCCATATTGGGCACAGAGCTTACTTAAAAAAATAAATAAAAAATAAAATAAAATAATAAAAATAGAAAAGAGACTGGAATAAAAAAAAAAAAAAAACCTCAGTAAATGAATTTAACGGCAAATTAAACAAAGCTAAAGAGTAGGTGAACTCTTTTCCAGAATTTTCCAGAATATCCTACACAGAGATGACCAAAATATAAAAGAAATTAAGAGACACAGAATATAAAGTGAGAATGTCTATCTAACTCGAGTTTCAGAAATGTAGAAAAGAGAAATTGAGGCAGAAACAATTTTTGAAGAGATACTAGCTGAGACTTTTTCTCAACTGAGAAAAACAATCTCAATTGCTGGGTTCAGGAAGTCCAACAATTTCTATGCAGGACAGTTAAAAGTCAAAGATTCCCATACTGGATTAAGAACAAAATCCATAAATATGATGATGTTTAAAGAGAAATCTAAAACCTCAAGATACAAAAAGGTTGAAAAACAAAAGATGGAAAATATCCTAGGCAAATAGTTATGAAAATATTGTTTACATACCTAAAAAATATTTACTAAAGTAGTCAAAATAGAAAAATAAAAAAATACTGTTTACAAGATTTTAATGGTAAAAAGTATTACTAAACATAAAGAGGGTCATTATGTAATGATAAAAGGAAATTCTAAACTGTTTTGTATCTAATAATACGTCCTCAAGATACATAAGACAAAAACTGAAGAAACTCAGTAACAGATGAATCACACTAGTTAATATTCTAAAGCACCTCTGTCTATAACTGATAGATCTAGGGGTGGCTGTGTGGCTCAGGTCATGATCTCATGTTTTGTGGGTTCGAGCTCTGCGTGGGCCTCTGCACTGACACTGCATAGCCTATTTGGGATTCTCTCTTTGTCCCTCCCCCACTCAACACTCTCATGCACATGGGCTTTCTCTCTCTCCCAAAACAAGTAAACTTTAAATAAAAACCTGAGAGATCAAGCACACAAAATAATCAGTAAAGAATTAACAAGCCACAATATATTGAATATTGCTTCCAACTAAAAACATTTACGTTCTATTCAAGCAAAATGAAACTTATAAAAATAGACCACATGTAGGATTAAAAGCAACAGAACTGCAGTATTAAAGGGAAATTTATGGCCTGGAACTCTTAAACTAGAAAGTTGGAACGACTGGGAGTTAATGGGTTAAGGATTATACTTAACCAAAAACAAAGTAACGGGGACTCCTGTCTCAGTTGGTAGAGCATATGACTCTTGATCTGGAGGATGTAAGTTTGTGCCCCATGTTGCGTGAAGGCTTACTTTATTTTATTTGCATGTGTGTAAGTGAGGGAGGGGCAGAGAGAATCTTAAGCAGGGTCCAGGTCCAGTGCTGGGGCCTTGGGCTTGGTAGATCCTGATCTCAGGACTGTGAGATCATAACATGAACTGAAATCAAGAGATGGATGCTCAAAAGACTGAGCCACCCAGGTGCCCCAAGAGTTTACTTTTAAAAAAATAAAACAAAAAGACAATAATGTTCAAATAAAATAAAAGGAAGATTAATGAGAAGAAATTAGTAAGAAAATAACAGCTGTTTTTCAAAAGGTGTGTTAAGAAAAATTAGTCAAAACTTGGTAAGAGGTAAAAAAGACTATTAAGTGTTAAGAGCAGTGTTGTACCTGTACCACTGATTGGCTGAAAGAATTTTTTCTTCAAATTCTGTTATAAAGTTTTAATATCTTACTGGTTTCCTCAGTTAACTACATAAAACTTTTGGATTATATATGCATAACAGTTTTTTTAACTTAAAAAAAATTATGTTTTGGGGCGCCTGGGTGGCGCAGTCGGTTAAGCGTCCGACTTCAGCCAGGTCACGATCTCGCAGTCCGTGAGTTCGAGCCCCGCGTGGGGCTCTGGGCTGATGGCTTGGAGCCTGTTTCCAATTCTGTGTCTCCCTCTCTCTCTGCCCCTCCCCCGTTCATGCTCTGTCTCTCTCTGTCCCAAAAATAAATAAATGTTGAAAAAAAAATTAAAAAAAAAAATTATGTTTTGGCTAAGTGATAAGCAAAGTTTTTCTGTAAAGAGCCAGGTAAACAATACATTAGGCTTTATGGGTCACTGGTTTATGTAGCAATTTTTAAATTCCGCCTTTCTAAGCTCAAAAGCAGTCATAGAAAAAGAAAATGAATGGGTGTGGCTGTCCCCAATAAAACTTTATTTACAAAAACAGGCAACGGGCCAGAATTGGTAGGATTAAAAAAAAAAAAAGGAGTCAGTAAACATCTAGTAAGAAAAATGTAAGGGGTGGAAAGGAAAGCAAAAAAAAGAAAAGGGAAAAGAGAAATGAAAGAAAGAAAGGGCACCTGGCTGGCTCAGTCAGTCATGTGACTCTTGATCTCGAGATCTTGAGTTCAAGCCCACAATGGGCATAGAGCTTACATTAAAAAAAAAAAAAAAAAGATTAAAAAAATGAGAAAAGGCACAAATAACCCATATCAAAGAACAAAAGAAGTATCTACATTGACAGGAAATGTGTAGAAGACAGTAGTATTTAATATTTTGTGCCAACCAAAAAATAAAATAAAGTAAATTACATTAAATTTTGTGCCAATAAACTTGAAAATTTAGATGAAATGAACCAAATTCTGGAAAAAAATGTAACTTTCTATAAATTACTTAAGACGAAATAGAGAACTGAATACTTCTCTAACCATTAAACGTGTCAGACTAGTATTTAAAAATCTTCCCCTCAACTCCACTACAGGCCCAGGCAATTTTAGCCACCATTCTACTGAACATTCAAGAAACAGGTAATTCTAATCACACAGTTAACAATTTCAGCGTATCCTGGTTTAACGGAAAATCACTGTAACTTCCACATTAACAGAATAGTAAAAATAAAAATGGTTTCAATAAATACAGAAAAAAATATGTAATAAATCAACACACTGTGGGAGAAGGTCATCAAGATTTGACTTCCAGTTGACCCTTGAGCTTGACCCAGGCAACTGGAGGCCCCTCCCTGTTCCTGGAATGTGTTCCACTTGCATAGTCTTGAGAGAGAAATGTGGTATTGAGGCTATCTGGACTGGGTACATGACTGAGCCCAGTTAAGGACTCCTGCATACATAACTAAACATAGTTAAGGTCTGTGTATAAACTTTTAACATTCTGGCACAGAGATCTATTCATCTTGCAGCCACCCAAGACAATCCTCACACATAAGTTCCCTTACCTATGAAACCTGCCACCTACCAATCTGAAGTGGTTTCTTTCTTCAGTCTCTCACTGCCTCTGTGTACAGAGGGCCAGTTTTATTTATTTATTTAGAGAGACAGTGCATGTGTGAGCGGGGGGGGGGGGGGGGGGGGGGGGACGGAAAGAGAGAAAAAGAGAGAAAGAGAGAGAAAAAGAGAGAAAGAGAGAGAGAGAGAGAGAGAGAGAATATCCCAAGTAGGCTCCGAACTGTCAGTGTAGAGCCTGACATGGGGCTTGATCTCAGGAACCATGAGACATCATTGACCTGAGCCAAAATCAATAGTCGGACACTGACTGAGCCACCCAGGCACCCTCCATACATGGGGGCCAGTTTTAGATTACACTTTGGAACCTCCTCAGGGAGTTATGAACCAACACCATTTTTAGAGATAATTTCCTTAACATTAAATAAAGCGTTATCTATTTAAAACATTTACTAAATGATAAAAGCACTTTCTTTAGAAATGGGAACAAGGTAAGTGAACCCTCTTCCACCATTTCTATTCAACTATTTTTTTGAGGTCCGGGACAGCACTGTAAAGCAAGAAAACAATTTCAAAATATAAAGACTAGAAAGGTAGAAATAAAACCATTACTATTAGCAAATACTATATTTCTTTTATACGGAAAACCTCGAAGAATGTATAAATGACTGAATGACTAAAGGAATTTGGCAGTATTACTGTATATAAAATATACACCAAAAATAAATCTGAAATTACATAATTTTAAGAAAAAAAATAACAGTTTCAAAACATATAAAGTACCCTGAAATAATCGTACAAAAGATGTTTGAGACTGCTATGGGTAAATCTCTAAAAGTTTATTAATTCAATGTTATCTCTATCAAAATACACTATTTTGTGTGACTGTGACAAGCTGCTTTTATAGTTTATATGGAAGAGCAAAGGGTTATGAAACTATGATCCACTTGAGTAATAAAGGTGGGAGACTTTCCTTATTATAAAGCTATGGTAATTAAGATCAGGTGAAAATACCGTAAGAGAGACCACCTATAGACTAGAACGATGCCTAGAACTGGTACCAAATATGTGGAAATTCATCAACTGGCAAGAAGAGGATGGAGTCTTCACTAAAGGGTTCTGAGACAAGTGATGATCAAATGGGGAAAAAATGAAGTCAAACATCTATCTCACACCAATAAAATTGTGAGCAGACTAAAACTTAAATATGAAAGAAAACTATGAAAATTTAAAAAGATAATCTATGAACATAGCTTTATGACTTAGTACAGAAAATTTTTTATAAGCGTTAACAAAGGAAAACAATGATTAATTCAACTACATTAACTAGGTAATTAAAAAATACATTATTTTTAAATTCTGTACACATATTTTATACTCTTCACTTAGTATTTGAACCAAATAAAATTTACCTACTTAACCTGCTATTAATTTACATTATATTTGCTGGACAATATATAAACATAAGCATATAGAATGAAGAACAAATGTGTCCTTTTGTTGGAATATTAGGATGCTGCACTGCAGTTAATATAGGGCAGCCACTTCTTTTGCTATAAGCTGCTGAGAAACTGAACAAGAGCAATATTCATACACTTCTCTCTTTCTGCTTCAGATGCATGAAAAGTAAGAAAAAAATTCCAACGCTAACGTATATCAAAAGACTATTATCCATGGTGCCTGGGTGGCTCAGTCGGTTGAATGTCTGACTTCGACTTAGGTCATGCAAGATCTCATGGTTTGTGGGTTCAAGCCTCCCCAGCAGCCTTTGCACGGACAATGCAGAGCCTGCTTCAGATTCTATGTCTCCCTCTCTCTCTGCCCCACCCCTGCTCATGCTCTCTCTCTCAAAAATAAACATTAAAAAAAAACAACAACAACAACTGTATCCATGAGGAGTTTTATTATTCAGAGGGCCTAGTAGAAGACATATTTTCTCTTGAGTCACCAAACCCAGAAAAAAGTAAATTATCACTAATCTCAAATGTAATAAATACAATTCTATGATCCATGAAAGTTTTTGCTCACCATTATATCCCCAGAGCCTACGCTAGTTCCTCGCACATAGTGGATGCTTAATATATATTTTCTAGTAATTCAACACATAGCTACTGCTAAGGAAAAATACGTTATTTGTCTTTCCAGAATAAGTTTAAAAAGCGTAAGGTAGAAAAGGATCAGTGGTTAACTAGGTAAGTATTTATAAATCTGGATAAAGTCATTTTTTTGTTTCAGAAAAAGGAAATGATATTTCACACAGTCATGTCAGTAATTCAGTAACCAAGAGTTACAGTAAGTTAATATTACAAGAAATGTATAAATACAGTTACCTATTTAATTCTTCCTAAATTTTCATTTGTTGACTCCTAAGCCAATATATAAGTTCTAGTGAGTCAAAAGAAAGTCAAATTATTCATTTATAATAACAATAATAAAATCAAAGAAAAAAAGCCACACTTGGAATTTTGATTATTGTACATTAACAGTTTACTGAACCTAATGAATTCTAATAATTAATCTTAAAAAATAAAAAAGACTTACAAAAGTGCTCTATTATTATGTTCCACAACACAGATATAGGCAATTTTTTAACAAGCAATTTTTAAGTAACATATTCACTTAGTGTAATATAACACTGATGCAGTTATGTATTTCTCTCAAACTGTTTTTAGCCATGTAAAGGTCAGAAATTTTTCTGCCACTACATCTGTCTCACCTAAGAGGTAGTGACAGAAAATGACAGCCTTTTCCAGAACCGCACCTTGGAAAGCTTGCTAGAAGAAGGGCTTCTTCAATTCGCCTTAGTCTGCTGCTCTAAGTGGGCTTCTCCCACTGCAGCACACACCCTGAGTTTCTAAGACAGACACACACCCACCTTCCAGTAGGTACTTACAAACAAAAAGCAATAGCATTAGAAAATTCTTACCAGAAAGATCCACCACTGCCTCATGACTGGAAACAGCTCCTTTCTCAATAAAAAGATCTCGAAAATATTCACTATTAGCTGATAGAACAGATTTATGAGCTTTGTACTCCTCTCCCTCAATTAACAAAGTAACATCACAGAACTGGTTGGAGAGTCTCTGTTCGTTGAGCTGCTTTAAGACAGCCTGACAATGTTTTGGAGAAGAACGTTTCACCACTCCTTTGGTGTCAACCTATCAAAATAAGTTTAAGACCAAGAGTTGTATTATGTATCATCTGTATTTCTACCTTTAACAGAATTTAAAACGTGACACATTATTCACTTTTAAAGACACCATTAATATGAAGAAATAGCCAGATATTCTTTATTACCTATATACTTAAATTAAAAGAGCATTCTTACTATTTTCTGCCATGTTCCTGCATCTCACTTCTTGCTGCCTTTATTTACTAGTCAGAAACTTAATGGTGTATGAAAGTAATGCAGGTAAAAAAAAAAAAAAAAAAAACCTAGCCAATTTTTTTTTTTTAACATTTATTCATTTTCGAGAAAGAGAGACTGTAAGCAGGGGAGGGCTAGAGAGAGGAGGACAGAGGATCCAAAGCAGGCTCTATGCTGACAGCTGTAAACCCAATGCAGTGATCCCACCAACCGTGAGATCATGTCCTGAGTTGAAGTCAAGACGCTCAACCAACTGAGCCACCCGGAAGCCCCAGCCAGTTTTTTTTTTTTTTTTTTTAATGTTTATTTTTGAGAGAGAGAAAAGGAGACAGAGACAACCCGAAGCAGGGCTCAAATTCACAAACTGTGAGATCATGACCCAAGCTGAAGCTGGACACTTAACTGACTGAGCCACCCAGGTGCCCCAAGACCTAGCCAGTTTAATTTACCTTGTTTCATAACCTAAAGATTGTTTCCAGAAACATATTGTCTACCTGTACCAATATACCATTTATTTATTTATTTATTTTATTTTCAGAGAGAGAGAGAGAGAGAGAGACAGAGAGACAGAGACAGAGAGAGAAGCAGGCAGAGAAAGAGGGAGAGAGAGAATGCCAAGAAGGCTCTTCACTGTCAGTACAGAGCCCAACATGGGGCTCAATCTCATGAACCTCAAGATCAGGACCTGAGATGAAATGAAGAGTCCAATGCTTAACCCACTGAGCGACCGAGGTGCCCCACCAATATACCATTTAAAAAGGCAGGAAGAGGGGCATCTGGGTGGCTTAGTCTGTTAAGCATCTGATTTTGGCTCAGGTCATGATCTCACATCACAGTTCGTGAATTTAAGCCCCTATTGGGCTCTCTGCTCTCAGCACACAGCCCGCTTCAGATCCTGTCTCCCTCTCTCTCTGCTCCTCTTCTCCTCTCACGGGCACACGCCTGTGCTCTCTCAAAAATAAACAAACATTTAAGAAATAAAAGAAGACAAGAAGAATGATTAACAACAAACCAACAACCTACATTCTAAAGAGACTTAACTACAGGAATATTATAATTAATGAAAAAGCAGTCTTAGCATACTTTTAGTGTATGTAGTAATAGAGTGTATTACCTGAGACTTACTTAAATTTTAAAGACTTACTTAAATTTTCAACAGTCAAGCAGTTTTGGTACTTTAAGAAAAAATTCACGAAGACTACAAACCTAATACATTAGTTACAAATGTTAAAGCTGAATGGAAAGTTCTACTTACAAATACAAGTTCATGTTTGGACACTGGCTTCTTTTTTGCAGGCTTGGAGGCTGCAGTTGGAGCTGAAGTAAAATTGCTCAGATCATCCTCTGATTCATTACTTTCTTCTCCAGACTCAAGGTCTAGTCCCAATTCTTCTAACATTTCTGAAGTATCTGATATTGGACGGGACCGATCTAGCTTCTCCTGGCATTTGCTACACTGTTTAATGTAATCTTTCACTTGCTTTAATATACCTAGAATAAAAATAAAAATTAACAAGTCGAATTTAATACTACGTCATTTGAAAATTATTTTTGGTTCTTTAATCTACGTACACTGATATGTTTGAGTGCTTATGTGTGGACACACAGCATGTAAAAGTGATTTCTTGAGAATGCAAAGTGCATGTTTTCATAGATGTAAGGTTACAGATGATGGTTTCCATTCTTATTTTTGCTTATTCCTAGTTATTTGCTTCCCCACCATATGATTACATACCAGTACCCATTTCCATGAGAGCTGCAACTCATTCATGCTATAGAAATTGTATGAAAATGCCAATATGACCTTCGTGAACAGTTATATAACGTGATTACCTCTCCACCCTACTAACATCAGGATTTCCCATGCAATTTGCTTTGGTCAATGGAATATAAATAAATATAACGTGTGCCATGTCGCAAAAGCTTTAAGAGGCCCTGTTTCTCATCGGTGATCTGATCTTCGTCCCCTCTCTCAAATAACATGTTCCAGATGGATGCCATCATTTAGCCTGAATTGCAGATAAAAAACGACAGGAGGAGGGGCGCCTGGGTGGCTCAGTTGGTTAAGCGCCTGATTATGGCTCAGGTCTTGATCTCACAGTTTGTGAGTTCGAGCCCCGCATCAAGCTCCGTGCTGACAGCTCAGAGTCTGGAGCCTGCTTTGAATTCTGTATCTCCCTCTTTCTCTGTCCTCCCCCCACTCACGCTCTCTCTCTCTCTCAAAAATAAACATTAAAAAAAAAAAAAGGTGGAGTGAAATTGCAACATAATGAGAGTGTAAAATAAATCTCATTTTTGAAAGCTATGAGATTTTAGGGTTGTATGAAATAACAGTTTTTGTTTTGTTTTGTTTTTAGGTCCTTGCATGATGCTGGGCACAAAGCAGGAACACAGTAATTTTTTTTTCATTTTGATAGAAAAAGCACGAGTGGGGGAGGGGCAGAGAGCGAGAGGGAGAGAG